AACGTGATTTCGCAGCAATAAATAGAGCCCGAGCAAGTTGGCCCGTCGTTGGCCAAATTATTTGCTTTATTTGGGTCCTCATAATTCTATATTCTCCGCCTTTATGGAGTTATGAGCATCATTATCAAAGGGCATTTATTTTCGTTGATTTGGATATAATTTTAATAATATCAGCAAAAAGAAACGCAAATAATGTTCTAATGTATGACTGGTCCTGATATTTTTCCAACGCAGGTGCTTTGCTCATATAACACGGAAGTTTGACTGACATAAATGTTAATAATAAATGCTATCCAGAGGCTAGATTTTATCCTAAAATTTGAAGCATAGCCGGCACGCAGCACCACACAATGCGTTTCCACTCGCGCGCAGATAGCATCGCATTGTCCGATCCAATAGCGCGATAGCTTGAATGCAGCCTGCAGCGGGCCGGGTTTGAGCACGTGGAATTTTATTGAAAATCAAAATTAATAATGGACGTTTACGAAGGGTTACAGAAATTTGGTACGCTGGGACTTGTGCGATGAAATCATTGGACTCACTTTCTTTCAAAAAAATGCCGTAAAACCGGAATTCAGGATGTAATTACAGAGTCAGAGAGCAGTAATTAAGACAATTTAGGGTAATTTAAAAAACAAAACACGAAAACATTGAATATAGCAAATATAATTATGCAGATGCTAAGTTAACTACAGTAGACAAAAACGTTCCGAGCTTGTTAACTGGACTGAATTTCCTGAAATTTTCAGGCGACACACCAAATCCTGTGTATCCCCGAACAATTACAGCGTGTCCCGATCCAAATCCGCTGCTTTTGTTTTGTCTTGCCGCGGCGGCTCCCGCGCGAATTGTTTGGCACCGAACCTGCATACGGGATGAGCTATTTATATTCTAGAAGGAGAAAATATTCATATGGAAAGAATAACTAGAAGTCAACTTGCCACTGCCGTTTGCGGGAATGAAATTGTTGAAAAGAATAAAGATAATAGAGTTGAATTTTCAAATGAAGATGTTGAAGTTATTTCCTTAGAAGATTCCCGTTTCGAGAGATTCGAGAGAATTAATGCTCTAAAGCAACCGTTAAATCAATGATATTTCTGAAATTAGGTATCTTGATAGATATATAGATAGATATCTTGTTTGGTTTGAAGCTAACTCTTCTCTAACAAAACACGAGTAACGTGTGCGCGAGACACATATCTCGACACACGTTTGTACTAATTGATCAGTGTTAATAAAAGCACAGAGCGACCTATTGTTGATCATAATGACTCTATTAGCAACGTCGCTAAGCCGGCATTCCTGTTAATTGACCTCAGAAACTTTATCAGGATCATCTTACCATTATCGCCTCTATGCCGAAGGTCTTTAGGCCGGCAATCAATTAGCAATATTAGAGTGATGACATAGTTCCAGTCATAGTTCAGATGTCAGTAATTAACTCCTTCGTGTAACTATTGTGTCAACGGTTCCTAATTATTGTTTAACTGTTTCTATGAAAAACTTAAATGAGCTTTGTTACTTGAATTACATTTTTTATGGCAATACACTTTATACTCGTAAGTAATAAATAAATCTACATACATAGATTTATTTTAAAAAAAATGTGCCATAAAGATTGTACAAAACGAAATTCAATTAAGTTTCCATAAATCAAAGTATTGTCAAGTGTAAATGAACAATGAATATTTACCGATAGCGCCTAACGGTTTGTGGGAACTCATTCCGGTTTATGGTCCCTAAACAACAATAAGTTGTCAGTAGATTGCGGCGTTATGTTCTTGATTTCCGATATTGTGTATGGTAATAGGTTTTAGAGCCGGAGCAGTTCGCTTTACATGCATATTTGATGAGCAGTAGGTGCAATCGGAAGATCGCTATGTATTTCAGTGAATTCAAATCTATTAACGCTTTAATTTGTAGATAAAAGTTGATAACAAACTTTCTACTATAATTAAATAGTGCTAGCGTGGGTTAGTATAGAGCAGACATTGTAAAGTCGTCGACCTGCTGGTACAACTAAGTGCAGGTATTTTTATCAATTCACAAACGTCATCATCATTTGTGGCCTTTTGTTATTTTTATACACCTTCTAATATTTTGTGCTTAATTTACTGACTTCAGCAAACTTCCTTATATTAATGCACTTGAATAATTGAATCCTCAATTTGGTTTTCGGGTTAAGCATCCGTTTCCTTTCCCAAATTTTTTACTAAGGAATCTGGCACAAATTCGTCAAAAACATATCTATACCACTTTACCAAAAGATGTTTTATGAAACTATACTTTTATGAGATAAACCGTTTTTAACGCCGTCCTTCCTCAGGTTACAATGCAAATGAATGCAGTGGGTCACAATGTGAAACGGGAGACGTAGTTTGTCACTTGAAATAGTCATTGTGGGTCATAAAATATTTCAGCGAAGCATGGGCATGCAAGCATTATGAGACAATGTGTCACCATTATGGCGTAGCGTAGTGTATACTACCATAAAGTCATTCACTCGGCCGGCTTAATTTCTTTAAGCAACTTTTCTCTTAATCCCTAAGTACAATTCGTGAGTTTTTCTGCTGTTTTTACCACTTTCACTGGAACACTTGGAGTAACGGAGAGTCCCACTTCATGTAGTTTTGTTATGGTCAGATGAGCAAGTGAATAACGACACGTAACGAGTAGCCGCGCAATTGCGCAGTCGGCTCGAGCGCTCGAATAGACACAATTAGTTAATTGGTGGCCGCAGACCGCCTCGGCTATTCTCGGATGTTTTCCTTTGACGACGCATCATGCAGAGTGCGGAAGCTTCATACAAGTGACTGGTACGCACACATACGATTACGCTAGCTTACAAAAATAACCACTGAATATATTGAAAACATCAATGAGTTGGTTGTATTGACTACCAAGTGTAGATGAGTGCAGTGCTTATGAAAATTCACTTGCTTATTCTGACTGGTTGAAGAGTTGTTTATTAATTATATTTTAGATGATTTCCCCATCAGAAAAATTGTACTTACATAAACTCACTGCATTTGAGAGCAAAATGAGAGCAATCATACTCAAATAATTACTTACAAATTACTTATTACTGAAATCGTACAAGCGAAGTCCTATTATAGATATCAAAGAATTTTGCCAAGTAAACCAAAATGCCTATAATAATAGAAGCCTACGCAATGCGAAAGAGTAAATGTAATTGCCTCAACCCAGTTCGGGATAAAATGGAGCTGTTAAGGTACACGTAACCTTTTCAAAAGGTTAAGTTTGTTTGTTCAAAGATATTTCAGTAGTTATCAATGTCGTGTTATACTGGTTACTTATTAGTGTTTCGCACACATCATCATCATCATCATCATTTCAGCCATAGGACGTCCACTGCTGAACATAGGCCTCCCCCAATGCTTTCCATGTTGATCGATTGGTAGCGGCCTGCGTCCAGCGCTTCCCTGCTACCTTTACGATGTCGTCGGTCCACCTTGTAGGTGGACGTCCCACGCTGCGTTTTCCGGTACGCGGCCTCCATTCCAGAACCTTTCTGCCCCATCGGCCGTCAGTTCTGCGTAGGTACTACGTGCCCTGCCCATTGCCACTTCAGCTTGCTAATCCGTCGGGCTATGTCAGCGACTTTTATTTGTTTACGGATCTCCTCATTTCTGATTCGATCTCAAGCAGCTACACACACATTTGATGTTAATTCCAACTACGCATTACACTTTTAGGCTTAGCGGGACATAAATAGACTGATTCTACATTCGCGCACAGCCTCTTATTAAGTGCCTAGAAAGTGTCAGCACACAATACATCAATCAAGCGGGATCATCGCTGTGACAGCTCCATATTTATTTATTTTATTCCGCCGGGACGAGCCGCATAATGTCTTCGGCGACGAAACTCCCAAACCGCATAATGTCATCAACGACAGGGCTGTCAAACAACGAGCTGTAATTAAAAGTTGGATAAACAATTTCAGAGTTCTGAATTAGGTCTTGACCCGAACGTAAAAGGTCTTGGGATCTTGTAAATCTCTAGGAGCTCAAACGATTTGTTTTCAAGTCAGTTAATATTCGCAAGATGTCTAATGCCGGTTGGCGTGAACTAAAGTGATAAAAACGCGCTTGGCGAAATTGAATCCCATTTGAAATATCGCCAAAATGTAGACAGGCGGACACGTAGCCCTGAATCGGTTTATCCGCAAAGCGGTTAGAATGATAGAACGATGAGATAGATTGTGTCGCCTCCGCATGAATAATTCCGCGACGTCGCCGCGACATCAATCTTGCGTCGCGTGACGAAGCTACGACAAAACAGTTAACACAGTCGATAGTTGCATTACTTATGTCCTTTATCCAAAATCCAAGGGTGGCTTGCAGTGCGGACCACACCTAGGTTAATTTTAACCGAAGCATTCGGTCATTGCTCAATAGTAGTAATATTCGTATTTGCAATAGAATTGATGCGTCTAACTACTCCTAAGTCTGTGAAATCAGATCTGCCCAAATAATAGAAAACCGGCCCATGCGTAGATACCATGGGATAAAGCCCAAAAGTGTGAGTAGCTACTTTTGCTGTTAAAGTTCCCTTGTAATTTCTCATTTTGTTCTGGCTGTTCAGCCGTCCCCCGGTGCACGTCGCGTGCTTCTTTCAAAAGGTTATTTTCGAGATTAGCCGCTGATGAAATATGCTCAGGATAATCTGTTACTCGTTCATTATGGCCGCGACAGCGAGGGCGATATTCGCGGGATAACGTACGATCTTGTCAAAGGCGACCTTTTGATTGATTTATGCCTTGTCCGTATGCTACCTATATGGGTAGAAAGTTACTCTGTTTAGAAAAATGTTGCCCACGCTACTTATAAGCCGAGCTGACGCTAAACGCTGGCCACCTGTTTTAATAGCAAGTTGTCAAATGATTTTGCAAATATGCTTTTCCGATAACATGTTTACGTAGGTACTTACTACAATTTTTCCATAAGATCAAGAACAGATTCAAGTCAATTATATTTCTTCGCTTCATTCTTCAGATATAACATAACCAGGTAGTCCTTTTAGCCTACAAGGTAGAATCGCACGCTTTTAGAGATTTTTGATATCGAGAATCGATATTTGAATTCAATCGATTTCCTAACGACGCTTGGTCACGGCACTATTCGGCGCGAGACGCCATTCTTTTTTCGTGCGAGGTAGAAGACGAACGCGCTGCGGTGGAAATAATAATTTCTGCTAGCAATTATGCCGAAACGAAAAAGTGACGACGACCTAATAAAACGTTATAAAAATAAAATTAAAAAGCTTGAACATAAAAAACAAGCATCTGAACGACGTCGACGAGTTATTATTTATTCCGATTCTGACACGGATTTGGGGACAGATGACAGTAAGTAAAACGATTTTTTTCTTTATAGATATAAATTATTTCTAGTTTGAAAGTGCAAATATTTAAAAGCCTGGCGGTTAGCCGTGAGTTAACACGAAGGCGGCTTACATTGTAATTGTTTAACGATATTAATTTGAATGCACTCGCCTGGCGGTTGACCGAGCGTCATCACGATGGCTGTATTTATATCTACCTACCTATACAATATTATATAATTGTAACTAGGTAGTGTTATTGGTTTATTTAAAATTTACATACATCGATAATGAGTACGTTGTTATTCGGCGGTTAACCGGGAGTTAACACGAGAGTAAAATTTTCATCGTACTAAGTACGTCCCGTATGTTCCAGACGGAGCGTCGCCTACGACGTCACCGCAAGTGGAAATACTTCCTTCAACGAGCTCCGACCCGTTACCCAAGGAGAACGCTGACGCAAGCGTAAGCGAGCCCGCGCCCACAGAGGCTGCTGCTGATTCTTTAGAACCGGACCCTGAGCTGGACCCCGAGCTTTTACTAGCACTCGGAGATGAAACAGGGAGTACACCCATTTTTGGCGAGAAGATTCACCATAGCCTGGCCCAACGATGGGACCCTATCTTAAAAAAGGGATTGGCAAAGGAGGCTAAAGACAAGCTGATGAAAGAGTATTTGATACCAGAAAACTGCTCTCTCCTACAGGCCCCCAAGCTTAATAGCGAAGTAGCGGCCGCTATTTCAGAGGCGGCGCGCCAAAGAGATAAAAGAAAGGAGACCGACCAGCAACAGTTAGGGCTAGGTACAGCAGCCATCAACAAAGCTTTGACTGTCATGCTTACAAGCGACGACAAGATCGAAGCTATCAGAATACTAAGTGATGGATGTCGTATACTTACTGATCTTCATTACCAGCAAACGAAATCGCGCATTAGTGTCATCAATTACTCACTAGCGAAACCCTTCTTGAACGTTGTTCAAGAGAGCGAACGAGATAACACACTTTACGGAAATAAACTAGGCGACAAAATAAAAGCCTCCAGAGCCATAGAGAAACAAGGACTATCAATAAAGAAGTTTACTAAACCAGCAAGGAGTAATTCGCTTCCGGAACCATCAACAACCAATACCCGTTATCAGTACACGCCCGCTCAGCCCGCTGCGTATCAGGGAAACTGGTCGGGCCCCCCGCGCTATCAACAGTTCCAACAGAACAGGGGAGGACGTCGGGGGGGTCTGAGAACGAATGCCCCTGCGAACCGTCGGGCACCTCAGCCAGCATCGAACGCGTCGGGCCCGAACAAACCTCGGACACCTGCGACTCGCCAGTAGATAAGGTAACTCATGCTGGTAGAATATCCCATTTCTACAATTGTTGGCTTAAAATAACAACCAACCCTATTATATTAGAGTGGATAGCTTTAGGTTTCCCAATACCATTCAATTCTGTTGTGTACCAAACTCATGTACCAACGTCTTCCTTGTCAATGACTGAAAAAGCAGACATGGTAGTTGCTATTCAAAAATTATTAAAGTTAGGCGCAATCAGACCTTGTATGCCCTGTGATGATCAATTTATATCCAAGACATTTTTAGCACCGAAACCAAATGGAGAAAAACGCTTTATACTAAACTTGAACAATCTTAATAAATTCATACCTAGCTTACATTTTAAAATGGAGGATCACCGAACGGCGGCTAGATTGTTACCAGCTAATGGTTTTATGGCAACCATCGATTTGAAAGAAGCGTACTTTCTTATTCCGATACGCGAATCAGATCGAAAATTCCTAAGATTTCAGTTTGAAGAAAATCCCGGCGAAGTTTTTACGTATGAATTCACCGCTATGCCATACGGTCTTTCAGTTGCCCCTAGAGCCTTCACAAAGATAATGAAAGAGGTAATAACACACTTACGCTATCTAGGCTTCAAAAATGTTTTCTACTTGGATGATATCCTCTGTATAGGAGATAGCTTTACTGAATGCCTTCAAAATGTTAACGCTACAGTAAATCTCTTACAATGTCTCGGCTTCGTAATAAATTATACTAAAAGCTCTCTTGTACCTAGGCAAACCTGCCAGTTCCTCGGGTTCATATACGACTCGGTAAATGAAACCATCTCTTTACCACCTGAAAAACGTCAGAAAATCACGGACTTGACCAGAAAATTCTCTATTGTACAAAAGTGTACAATAAGAGAATTCGCCCAACTTATCGGGGTTTTAGTGTCAGCATGTCCTGCAGTTAAATATGGTTGGCTGTACACTAAAATTCTAGAACGACAAAAATTCCTAGCCTTACAAAGATGCTTAAGCTATGAAGCTCGGTTCAAGCCCCCTTCAGTTATTTTGGACGATTTGAACTGGTGGACACAAAATATACATAAAAGTAGCAATTCCTTGAAAACAGCTAATTTTGACTATGAAATTTATACCGATGCTTCAAGAACTGGCTGGGGAGCAGTGTGTAATAACACGAGAGCCCATGGAGCTTGGAAAAGTTGCGAACTTGACCAGCATATAAATTTCTTAGAGTTATTAGCGGTTTTCCTAGCTCTAAAGTATTTTGCAAGTGATCTTTCTAATTGTTCAATTCTACTGCGAGTTGATAACACAACTGCTATCAGTTACGTTAACCGCATGGGCGGAATCCAATTCCCACATTTGAACGATCTGTCCAGGCAAATATGGCAATGGTCTGAAGTAAGAAACATCTGGTTATTCGCCTCGTATATTAATACAAAAGATAATTATGAGGCGGATAAAGAGTCTCGAAAGTTCAACCCAAACACTGAATGTGAACTGTCTAACACAGCATTCAAACGAATAACAAAGGCCTTTGGACAACCCGAAATCGACCTATTCGCTTCCCGGGCTAACGCTAAATGTCAAAATTATGTATCGTGGAAAAGAGATCCCGAAGCTCTCACCATAGATGCCTTCACTATAAACTGGAGAGGAAATTTCTTTTACGCATTCCCTCCTTTCCCACTTATTCTAAAATGTCTTCAAAAAATCAAAGCAGATAATGCTACAGGCATCCTGGTGTTCCCTTCTTGGCCATCCCAGGCCTGGTACCCACAGTTAATAAGAATGATTATTTCAGACATCATTTGGTTATACCCCAATGACCATTGTGTACAATCTTGTTACAGGAATCCACTTACCCTGGGTGCCGCAATAGTCTCAGGCAAGCATTCTCGCGCCGCGGCGTTCCCGAAACAGCTTTGGACCTCATGTTAGCATCTTTATCTAACAACACGATACAACAGTACAACGTATCATTCAAGATGTGGTGGGAGTTTTGTCATAATAATGAATCCGATTTCTTTAGTTGCTCCATCCCTAGGGTTTTATGTTTCCTAACTGAACAGTACAAAAAAGGAGCCGCTTACGGATCTCTCAATAGTCACAGATCTGCGTTATCCTTGTTGTTAGGGAATAACGTCGGGTCCGATGACTGTGTTAAACGGCTTTTAAAGGGAGTTTTTAGGCTAAAACCCAGCTTTCCAAAATACAGCAGTACATGGGACCCACAAATTGTTTTGAACCATTTGTCTAATTGGTATCCAAATAGAGAACTCAGTAGGGAAAAACTTACAAAAAAGTTGGTTATGCTATTAGCCTTATGTACTGCCCAACGTGTTCAAACTCTTTCCTTAATTAAGCTCGAAAATATATCAATTAACTCAAACGGAGTGAACATAGCAATCAGAGACATTTTAAAAACATCCGCGGCGGGTCGGCAACAGCCGACACTATTCCTGCCTTATTTTCTAGAAAATGCTCGCATATGTCCCGCAAAAACTCTCGAGGACTATCTTCAGATCACTCATGCAGATCGGCCTGCCAATATACCCAATCTCTTAATAACTGTGAAGCGCCCCTACAGGAGTGCGACAGCACAGTCAATAAGCAGATGGATTAAGCAGACATTGTCTGAGAGTGGCGTAGACGTGGCGGCGTTTAGCGCGCACAGCACGCGCCACGCCTCCACGTCTGCCGCCGCAGCCGCGGGAGTATCCATTGACACTATAAGAAAGGCCGCAGGATGGACCAATACGTCTAAGGTATTTGCTAAATTCTATCATCGACAGTTAATTGACACAAATAACTTTGCTCAATCAATCTTGCATCACGATGATTCCGCCTAACTTTGATTATGATTAATTATCGTTATTACATGACAAGTATTAAAATGTATTTTTGTTTATGTGAAGTCATATTTTTGTTATTTAATCTCATAAAATAAATTTAATAAGACTGAATAATATGTGTTTTAATAGCAAAACTTGGCTCTAAACATCTACCTGGTTATGTTATATCTGAAGAATGAAGCGAAGATATATAATATGTGATCAAACGAACTTCACAAGCGAAGTTCGATCAATATTATATGAGTCGCTTCATTCGAAGATATAACAACCCCCCCAGCCCAAACCCGGCTATAAAAGTTTTGCTATTTGGGCAATCTCTAAAAGAATGGCGTCTCGCGCCGAATAGTGCCGTGACCAAGCGTCGTTAGGAAATCGATTGAATTCAAATATCGATTCTCGATATCAAAAATCTCTAAAAGCGTGCGATTCTACCTTGTAGGCTAAAAGGACTACCTGGTTATGTTATATCTTCGAATGAAGCGACTCATATAATATTGATCGAACTTCGCTTGTGAAGTTCGTTTGATCACATATTATAAGTATGTTAAGTAATTGTACTCTATTATAGCTGGTATTCTGGTATTTCGGATTTAAATATAATGCTGATCTCAAATTACTCAAAACTTTCATAATTTCAGTATTAGTAAAAACCTAAACATCTAGGTAGCATTATAGCAAAATACTTTACAGATCAATAATTGTAGCTTTAAGCAACCCAGCCCTTTGACGTGGTAAATACGAACACGCCCAATCTTGCAATAAAGCAAATACTAAGCTTATTTGATTGGCTACAATCTCGGCCCTACAATATTGTGTACTAAACTCGCAAAGGCCCGCAATCAGTGCTGTAATTAACTAAGTCAACTGCAATTAAAAACCACAACACGTCTGGATTTAGATACATACAAATTACCTAGACCTAAGCGAGCTAACTGGACCGCGGTTGCGATAGGAATGCAAATTCATTCATAAATTCATTGCAATTCATTTGAGAAAATTGATATGTGTTGCGTTTGAGTTGTCACTTTCTCTGGTTCCTGGTGTTTATTGCTGGAAAATATGAGCCTCTTAAAGGCTCTGTGTGTCTGCGAGGACACATTAATTTGCTCAATAAGTAAGTGCAGTGCAAGATAACAGAATGTTAATGGAAAATGGACTACACACAGATTCCACGGTTTGATCTTAACGTCTTTTAACTCTGATAAGGGTCAAGTGGTGATGTATTTTCTTTATTTGAAAGAAAGAAAGAAAGAAAAATATTTATTCGATGCAAGTAGGTACACAGCAAGATAATAACTAAAACTAGACAACAGAACGTCTACAAGCACCAAAATGGCATCAGCTCATCATCATCATCTTTTGAATGAAATTGTGATATTACCAAATTTCACAACTTTATTTCATAAAATGAACGACACAGTTAGCTACGCTTTAGATCATGATGAAGGCAAGTACAGCTTTTACCGTCATTGTTGCGTTTACAGGCGCGTTTTCCGGACAGGCCAATTTCGCACTTTATCTGGTGTCTCCGCGAAGGCAGCGGCCGCGTGAATAATTCAGCAGCGCGGGAGCAGCCTCAATCTCGGGAGTGTCGCGCGACGGCTGACGGAGCGATGGACTGGACTCTCGTTCACGACAGGCCTTCTCAACCTGTTCACATTTAGAACCACTTCTTTCATGATTTTATTACATCTGCATTTTATCATCACTTCTCACTCGTTTCACATTCTGCTTTCTTGACGACACAAAGGCTGAGTTCCACCATCTTTTTTTAACTTTAACAAACGTCAAAAGTCTGTCAAATTTCATACAAAAACGCCAGTTATAGTTGTAATCACGAATAAAATATGGGGGTGCAACTCCTCCTCCTCCGAGGGGAGCCTCAACGGATCTCTGTGTGTAAAGAAAAATCATTTATTTGAATTTTTTTAACAAATTCCAATCAATACATGCCAGATAAAAACGGACCGAACGGATACGGAGTTAAAAATGTTGAGAACTCCTGCCTGCTGCAGTGATCTCATTCATTATTGTCGCTATACACTTGTACTTGCTCCTGATTGATTGCTTGGAATATGTATGGTACTTCTAACAAACGTTAACAGTTAAACGGGATTCTCTTTAAAAAATTGAAAATACGTCGTAATTAATATTATGTCGTAATAGACTAAGAGCTAGTGAACGCCAGACCTACGTTATTTTATAAAGGNTTAATTCGTAGAAAAATTTCGATTTGACAAATCACTCTTCAGCCTTGATTAAGGCCATAGGCGAACCGTTGAACGAGTCAGGAAGCATTTCGTAGCCAGAAGATTGCAGCAAGGCGATTGGGCAGATAGATCGATATAATTAACAAAGGAGACTTGCCAACTTGGCCAGACGACGGCCCGTGACCAACTGATCTACATGCGTATACTGTCTCGTAGGTTTTGTTATCATATGAATAAAAGTGAAATTTGGATATACGAGTAATTAAATTTACACAAAGCACAGTCATGTTGTTGTGATACCTACTCACAATTCTTGCAATGCTTCTAATGAGGATACTTATTATGTATAGGATTTTATCCATATAAAATACCATGATAAAGCAATACACTACATTAAATCACCAAATGCAGAGTATGGGAAAAGCTCGCCTGTATGTATAGAATACAAAATTAAAAGAATTTGATAAATGCTGATAAAGGGAACTTCCAACCTTCGTGAAAACAAACGAAATCTTACGCCATGGCAATAAAGTTCATTCTAAATTCACTTAACTCACAAAATGATCTAAAATATACTCGTAATGTGAAGCCGAAAAAGAAGGAATAGCCTCTATAACCATTATAAGCAGGAATTTATTTATCTAGGATCTGGAGTGGGTCAGCGTAATGCATACTAATAGTGGATTGGACCTCGCAACGTTTACCCTATTATCAATTTGGCTATGTGCTGTCGGCACATCAGACCATACATTTTCGTTGCAAAATAGCTCCTATTACAACTAGATAAGATCACATGGTGTTTAACTTGAAGTGCTGTCGTCTGTACACATGTATAGCACTATCTACATAGGCTTTTACTAGAAAAGAGGGTATCGAAACGGTCAATGACCTACTAAAATAGAGCAAGAGGTTGTATTATTCAAACAATACTTATAAGATGTCTACGACTGCTCATAAAATACGATACACGGTCACAAGGTTTCCATAATAGAAGTAATAGGACGTCCTCTGCTGAACATAGGCCTCCCCTAGTGATTCCCATGTTGACCGGTTGGTAGCGGCCTACATCCTGCGCCTTCCTATTACCTTTATGATGTCGTCGGTCCGCCTTGTGTCAGGCTATGTCAGCGACTAGTTTATTTACTAGCTACTATTACTAGCCTTACCCTTACATACACATTATACCCTTCATATTTTTTTTTTAAGTAACTGTCCTCACCATAGGTTGTCTGGAAGAGATCGCTTAATAGCGATAAGACCGCCTAGTTGTACCTTGTGTGTTCCTTTTATTTCTGTTCTTATCTTTGGTGTGCAATAAAGTGTATTTATTATTATTATTTATTATTACTAGCTGCTATTTACTTAAACTTTATATTAATAGGGAATGCTTGTATAAACTGTCTCATTTTTCACAGATTTCACATTCTGTTTAATGAAAATATTCCGCGCCCCATATGCATTCAAATACATGCAAAAGTTTATCCGCACATGTTGATAAACCGGAGCCTCATCCACATGTAAATAAGTTGGAACATCGTTCACGCCCCATCATGCGTGGTCACAGCCGGGCAAGGTACAGGATCGCTTTATCCCACTTTAATGTAGGTACTCAATTTCATTAAGAAGGGAATTCTATAGTAAAAACTTACGTCAAATATACGTTCATCATAATAACATACCTACTTACTCTCCTTGCCACGCAGGCTGTTCATAGTCGTATGGGTAGGTACTAGGTACACTGAAATTCCAATATAAAGTCTTGGTGCTATTAAGCCTATGGACAATGGACAGTGTCACTATTAATTAACGGGGCTTATCTCCCACCACTGTTATACTAGCTGGAGACTAAGCTGTAGAACCTGGCTACACTCTCGTGTATTCTATAGCTTAGCCTCCAATTAAACCCAAACGGTCTCAGTATTTGAGAAATTGGATCCAACATCCAAAATGGAACCTTCTGTATTTACCTCTCGTATGGCCGGGACCAGTTAACGGGGGCATAGGGAAATATAAAAACAGCAGCTGTTGTTTTCATAATGGTTTTCATCGGGGGTCGGGTCATGTGAAATGGTTACCATTGCATGTTAGTATAAGAACGTTGACCATGTATATTTTATTAATTATTACCACATTAGTTTTGGAATTGGATTACTTTGAAAAACAGTAGGACTTAGTAAGACAAGGTGAATCTTTTAAGACTTAGTTTCTAAATTGACATTCCTCACGAAAATAGCTAAAGCAAAATGCTCAAATTTTAATGTCAAGCGACTATTGAAAATGAACAAAGAATCCCTAGGAAAGGAAAATTTTCACTAAGCTAAAGGAAAATTCGTGAATCTTTTGAACAGTTTTTCGCTTTCACTCGTATTTATAGTTTCTAATTTGGTCTGATAAAAGCTTGAAAGATTAATTATTATAAAATATTCGGTTAAGTCATAATTTTTTCACAAAAGCTAATAAATTCAGAAAATTATTCATTTTTAGATTTCCCAATAGACCACGCTAAATTGCTGCCTACTTTTAACTGGAAAGGTAAATTCTAATAACGAACTTCGTTATTGGGAGCCTTTATCGACTTGGGTAACTACAATGTCCTTTTCTGAACCAGAACGAAGGTTATCTCGTGTCCTATATTTATATTTGGGAAAGGGTTTTATCTTACACTTGGGTAGGTCAACGGGTGTGAGCATGTCAACGTTCCAGATAATTTTATTCAAAAGGGTTGAATATGCAATAAAGTATCTCCATTTACAGCGCATTTTATCGCAATGCTGACTGTCGGGGAAGATAAAAAGGGCTACCTGATACTCTCACTAATATGACTTAAAATGCCAGA